GGTCGTCGATTCGGGGAAGAGGGTATTTATTCTTTATCATGACTTGATTTAGTTCCCTGTAGTCGATGCACAGGCGCATGCTCCCATCTTTCTTTTTAACGAATAATACTGGTGCTCCCCATGGTGAGGTGCTGGGGCGGATGTACCCTTTATCCAGTAGTTCCTGAAGTTGTGTTTTCAGTTCCTTCATTTCCTTTGGTGCCAGCCTGTAGGGTGGTTTAGAGATCGGGGCAGCGCCTGGTATTAGGTCTATTGTGAACTCGACTTCTCTGGTTGGGGGTGCTCCGGGGATTCGTCCGGGAAGACATCGGTGAATTCGTTTACCACTGGAATGGTTTGGGGTTCGGCTATTTCAGTGTTGAGGTCCTTGACCGAGCATAGGAAGGCTTCGTTCCCTTGGGTTAGATATTTCTTCATTTTTATCATGTTTACTAATTTGATTTCTGGATCCTTGTGGGTTCCGTGGTAGGATACCCTCTTGCCGTTTGGTCCCCGTAGGACCACTTTTTGTTCACCGCATAGGATTTGTGCTTGGAATTTCCTTAACCAATCCATGCCCAAGATCACTTGTACCCCATCTAGTCTGAATTGTATTAGGTTGCTAGGGAATCTCACTCCTTCGATGGTGATTATTATGTTTTTGTACATGCGGTCACATTTTATGATTTCACCAGATGCCACCTTGACCTGGAGTTGTACTCTGGTGCCGGTGCTGAGACCGAGGTGAGCGGCGAATTCGGTGGCTATAAACGAGTTGGTAGCTCCTGAGTCAAATAGTACAGTGGCGGGGGTGGTGTGTACAAGGAAGGTTCCGGAGACTATGTTACTATCTTCGATTTTGGCTTTGCTTATGGTAAGGATCCTTCCTTGAGTGGCCGGTGTCGCGTTGTTGTGGGGCGAGGTGGTTTTGGCGGCCTTAGGCTCCCAGAGGGAGTTCGTGTGGTTCTCTTTAGATTTCCTTTTGTGTCTCAGGCGTGCTTCTTGTGGTTCGTCTGGTGTTTGTTGTAGTTGGAGTGCCTTGGCATAGGCTTCTTTGAGAGTTCTTGGTTCTTGTATAGTTAGGGCCTTCTGGTCTTCGGGATTGAGGCCTTTTATGAATTTCTTGACTTTGATTGTTTCTGTAGGTACTAGTTCGGGAGTGAGGCGAGCTAGCTTGAGGAACTGCCGGTGGTATTCTGTGATTGGGGTCGCTTCCTGTTTTAGATGGAGGAATTCTTCGTACATGGTTGCTTTCAGGTGACTGGGGTAGAATTGTTCTCATAGTCGTGTCTTTAGGGCTTCCCAATTGAACCCGGGGCTCTGTTCACAATTGGGTTTCTCGTGGACCCACCAGGTGTCGGCCCCGTATCTGAAGTAGAAGGAGGCCGCCTCTACTTGGTGGCTTTCCGGGCATCCCGTTGCCCTGAATATTTTGTCAAAGGTTCCGATCCATTCTTCGAGAGTTGTGGGATTTTCGTCCCCTGAGAAGGTGGGCGGTTGGTGTTCCGAGACTTGGCGGTGGATCTCCAAGTTTCTGTTTGGTGATAATGGTTGGGGGACTGCATTGTTTAGTGCCTGGGCAATTTGAGCCAGACGTTGTAGATTTTGAGTCAAGAACTCCTGTGTGGGAAGTTTCGGTGTCGTTGTCTGTTTCCTCCTTGGTGCCATCTTGGGTTCATAGGTTGATATTATTTTGCATCCTTACCTTGATGCTATGTGTGTAGAGAGAGTTTATAAAAATTTCGTGTGGGTTAGGGTGAGGAAAAGTGTAAGGTCTCACAGTCTCGCCGCGCGTCCTATGATTCCCTAAGTCCTATCTTCCTAGTGTTTTAAGCCTACTGTTCTAAGGTCTTGGTCTTAAGAGTCTTATCCTAGGGTCAAACTTAGGCTCTGATACCAACTGTAGCACCCCGAAATTTTAAAGCTTTTGAAATTTATATTATAAAGGTAAATTCTCATTAAATCCCAAAACATAATGTAGTAGAGTACGGGGTGCTATGCCACACCTGAGCTAGAGAACTCAGGTGCACAGGCTAACTAATATCCTCAATAATGTGAATACATAAGCATGGCACGCAGGCCGAAAGGGAAACTATCTACTCTGCGCTCCAAATCTCTAGCGCGCTCCAGTGTCTACTCCTCTGTGCCTGAAAGCCAAATATATCTGTTCAGTGAGAGATGCTGGTAACCCACTCCAACGCGTTGAAATACATTATAGATAGATATATATAGATATACGAAAACCATTTTGAAGCAGAAAGATATATACTTAGGAGACACTAGTTTTAAAACCAAGAATAGACTCGACAGATAGGGATAAGCACATTCAACAGTTATAATCAAGCATATAAAGATAATAGCATATAAAGATAATAGCATATATCCTATGGTCACAGATTCACTTCATCTCATTCATATCATCATCCCAATTTGTATCTCATCACACACAAGCACACTTTGGTGGCGCCACAGGACCAATCGCATGCCCATACATGAGGGTCAGCGCATATAGCTCTGACACGGCCCCGCAGCACCCTGCCTCGTATCGCAATACGAAGGGGTCGATCGCAACCGACCGATGAACCGCAGCTCATCATAATGTTTGATCGCAACCAAACAGTAGACCGCAGCCCAAGAGTAACCATCTGACCGCAGCCAGGAATATGAACCGCAGCTCATATAAAACGTTTGATCGCAACCAAACGGTGGACCGCAGCCCAAAAAGTGATCATCTGACCGCAGCCAGGAATATGAACCGCAGCTCATGTAAAACGTTTGATCGCAACCAAACGGTGGACCGCAGCCCAAGAGTGTAATTCTGACCGCAGCTCAGGAATAACCAATTTGATCGCAACCAAATTGGGGTATCATGCACACATAACACATAGCAAGCACATGCAACTCATATTAGCACATTGGGAAAGGGGAGAAAACGTATAAAGAAACCTATGCGTGGTCATCCACATACTAGGAATAATCCTAAGGGGTTCATACTTCTTTCACCTAGGCCAACGGGATACCAATTCAACTAGCATGCGATATATAAGACTCATTTATCCTACGAACGGTACCCGAAACATCAAACTAGACTTAGGCACGATAAACGGAGTTCGTTGGGACACCACGAGGGTCGGGGGAACATCAAACGGGGAAGCCGGAGTCCCGAAATGGACAATTTCCAGCGGGTAGCCGGTGGGTGGTGGACCACCCGCCGGCGACCAGTCTCCGAGCAACGGGTGCCCGGCGGGCAGTCGCCTGCCCGCTGCCGGCGACGCCCTTTTCGGGCAGCGGGTAGGTGGCGGGTCCCCCTACCCCCCACTGACTTTTTACCAAAATAAAAACGTCCCGGGATCCGTTGTGGAACCCGAAACCATGCTTAGACACTTTTAAACGCAATTGATGACACCACGTAGACAATTAACGGATCAAAAGCTAGAATCATATAGCACATATCCTATCATGACTTCTAAACATAATCAACACCCGAACATGCGAAATCCCACCCAATTATATCAAGAATAAAACAATACGAAATTCCCAATTTTAACCTAGGGCTCTAGTCATATTCAAATCAATAAATCATAGTTCATCTTTTAATCATCAAAACATCAAGATTCATCAAGAACATCATGTAATCATCAAGAACCTCTTATCATCATCAAGATCATCAAGAACACACATAAAATCATCTCACAATCATCAAGATCATATCATCAATATCATAAACGATCCATCAAGACACAAGTATAGAGAGGAGGTCAAAAAAGATAATTATAGCAAGGAAAATAGGTTTTGTTGAGACATGGGTTACCTCTTAGCCTTAATTAATTTCCTTGGCTATGAAGGGTCTTTCTTTAAGATTCCTTCTTTCTTGATTTCTCCTAGGGGGATTCTTGGAACTTCTTGTGTGGTGAGGGATTATTGTGGTGTGGGTTCTAGGTGCCTCCTATGCCCCCTATTTATATACCTAAGAGTCCCTAATTAGGGTTAGTTCTATTCCTTCTAGAACTATGGGATTGGGTTTAGGGATAAGGGTCCATGGATTATGGTGGACCTTTTCTTAATTAATTATTGGAATTTAGTCCTTTCTTTTGGGTAATTGATTAAATGATTAATTGGTTTTAGGGGCCGTAACACGGGGTGTTAAAGCCCCTTTCTGTCAGGTTGAGCATGGCCTACGCTACTGGTTAGGGGGCAATGGCCGGCTATGCTTGATGAGCGCATTTCTTCCTTTAAACCCTCGCACTCCTCAGTGGAATGATTGTTCGTGCGATGGTACCGGCAATAGGGTGGGGGGGGGGGGGTCCTTACTGACCACCTGGGGCCTATCTCCCGGTCGGATGGGCGTAGGCGGAGGTAACGGGGCGCGGACCTTGTGGATAGGCTGTGCCATCGGTCGTGGGGTCGGAGCTCCTAGTCGATCCATAATTCGACAAGCTCTCACACGAGTAACGCCTTCCTTCGCTGCTCGTCCCTCATGAGGGTTATCCATCCAGGGTCGTTTAGATGAAACTTCCTGTCTGCGCTTCTGTCTCACTGCTTCCTCCGTGTTGGCCAGCTGATTGGCCCGCTGGATGGCCTCTGCATATGTTTTGGGATTCTCGTCCCGCAATCGGCTATAGTGCACGTCCGCTCTTAAGGACTCGATGAAGAATGTCAGGGTTGTCTGCTCGTCCATGCCATCCACCGCCTGCGCTTCTTTCTGCCAGCGCGCAATATACTTGCGTAGGCTCTCCCCTTCATCCTGGTGTATCCTGGCCAGATCCGAGACAGATCTCTTAGGCTTCATACTCCCAGCGAAGTGTGTCAGAAACTAGGTGGCTAACTCCTCGAAAGTGTTGATAGATCCCAGGGGGAGCCTGAGGAACCACCTCTGAGCTGGCCGGTCAGTGTCGGGAAGAATGCCTGACAGATCATCGGAGCATCGGCCCCGATTACCTGCATCTTGGCCTAGAAACTGATTAACGTGGTCGCGCGGATCCCCCGTGCCGTCATAAGTAAGATGGTCGAGCAACTTGAACCCGGCTGGTGCCCTGTAAGCCTGCACCTGCGCTGAGAAGGGTGAGGCTGTCAGGAGACTGTCAGTGACCAACCTATCTCTCCCTTCCACCATCTGCCGCAGCTCCTGCATGGCGGCGAGTAGACCGGCCATGTCAAGGTTCCCAGGGCCGGGCAAAGCAGATGACTCTTCCATGCTTTCTATAGCTTCACGCCTTTGTCGCCCAGCCAGCCTCCTTTAGATAATGGCTCGCGGCTGCTCTTCAGCTGACCATGCGGGGAGGTGTTGCCCAGCCCGCTCGCCCAAGCGTTCCAGGACCGACCGCGCCGGGGCCGCGGGTCCTAGTCGGGAGTGCACCGAACGGTCTGCCTGTTGATCAATGGGCAGATTGTTCCCCGAGTGCTCTGAATGCCCGGGCCCTGCCCAGGGGTTCTCCACGGGAACCGATTGTGCGGGTTGTTGAACCTCATCTAGGGGTTCCTGATCCCGCCCGCGCACATACGCATCGAAGGCTTGTGCCATCAACTCCGCGAAGTTGGTTTTGTCCTGAGCGGCAGGCGCTGGCAGGTTCACGCCCGAAGGTGCGGGGGTCGGCGCGACAGTACGCGCAGTACGTGCAGCCCACTGTTCCCGGAAGCGCGACGACATAGCTGCTCCCTCAGATCACCAGCTGGAGCGCGGCTGCCGGCGGGCAACTCTAGCGGATTGGCAACAACAGTCACATGCCCATTGGCCGGCGGGACGGCGGCGTTGGGATCGGTGTTGCGGTTACTACGTCTGGTACGTGCCATCTGTAAAGCTTGGAAACGGGACCTTTAGTTTTGATCCCCACAGATGGCGCCAATGTTCGGATCATTTAGTGACGACCTCGTTCATAATGATCCCAGGGGGATATTTATACATAGATGTAAGTTTCATACATGGTAAGTAGGGCTGGCGTGCAGCCAAGCCTAAGGGGGGATAGGGCTGACATAAGGGCTGACGTGCTGTCAACTTATTATCTTTTCCACATGAACTAATTAAGGAAGCTGCCTAATGAGCGAAGATCGCTTCCGTAGAATCCACTGAACGCGTTTCTGGGTGTGTGCCTGGTCAGAAATGGTCCCGACTGCGCGCGGCGCCCTCCTAAGTCCTTGTTTTCAGATAATGACATCCCGTCTGTAGAGCTTGGTCGCCCAACCGGGTCCCAGAAAAGCATATGATTAGGGACACACCGCCCATGCGGCCTGGTCGCCCGCCCGAACCCCATGGGTGTTCAGTCGGGGACACGCCGACCGCCGTGACTAGTCGCCCAACCGTAATACATCTGAGAGCCCGCCCGGGGATGCGCCGACTAGCGGGCTAGCCGCTTTAGGAGTGTTTGACGGCTACTATTATTACTACTATTTGTACTAGTACTAGTACTATTATTAGTATTATTAGTACTACTATTATTACTACTACTATTGTTATTATTATTATTATTATTATTATTATTATTATTATTATTATTATTATTATTATTATTATTATTATTATTATTATTATTATTATTTCTTTCATCATCTCTCATTTCAATTTGTAATTTCTCCCAATTAGTAGATTAGATTTCTCTTTCTAGAATCTAGGTCTCTCTAGCCTATACCATTGTTGAAGAACTCTTGGAGAAGAAGATTGACAACCTTCAATTCAAGGGACAATTGTAGAAGTGATCAACTATTGCAATCTAATTTGGTATTTTGTTATTGCTTTCATCTTCTAATTGTTAATTGATTTCATATTGCAATGTTGATTTACTTAGCTATGCTTGGCTAGAAGCCCTTGTGAATTGGATCTTATTCTCTTGTGTTGAATATGATTGATCTATGGATTTGTGATGATATGCTTGTTGCCTTGTTGTAAGAGGACATAGTATGGACTCATTAGATGTGAGTGCACCACATTCATGTAGGTTTTAGAATGATTGAGCTAACAAGAGATTGTAGCTAACAAGAGATTGTAGCTTGATCCTAAGCTTCTCCTTTTGCAATTCCCCTCTCAAGGAATCCTACGGGACTTGGAGCGGAATGAGATGTAGACAAGGTGTTTGTAGGAATGCTCCTTAGGACCATGGTCACGGAATGGTGTTCCATACCAAGAAAATGCCTAGTAACACGAGAGGTGAACGGTATTGGAAGTCATCTCACGTAGGCTATGCACCACTAGTTGCACTCTTAGGTTGATTCACTTCACACACACAAGGGTAGGAATCCAATTCACCTAACACCATCCTTAATAGTTTCATTTCTTTGCTTAGCATTCTTCTTCCCCTTGCACAATGATTTCAACTAGCTTCCTATTGCAATTGTGGACTTGTGTTTGACCTCACGGCATTTGACTCTGATTGTCCATCCTTTGAGAACGACAATCCCGGAAATCTTCATTCCCAACCTTCTTTCCACCCCACTCATACTACGACTCGTCAGTCAACGATTTGCCACCGTGACAAATGGGAATGACGATTGTAGAACTTCATGAAAAATTGTGACTTTCTTCGCTATTGTTCATAGAGTGCATGGTAATTTGAAGAAGAAGAAGAAGAAGAAGAAGAAGAAGAAAAAGAATGGTAGATTCCCTACGTAATTTGTTAAGGGAGAAGAAGAAAAAACAAGAATAATTCACAAAAGCGTGCGTAATTTGTTGAACAATGAGGAATTAGGGCTAGATGGTTTGAGATACCTGGTGTGATCTTTATATTGTGTAACGAACGCGTAACAGGAGAAGGTGGGAAGATACGATTTGTCAAAAATACCCTTATGTTTAACGGTGAGTTCACAGGCAAACTAACAGAGGACCAAAATGGGTACAAATTGAATAGTTGATGACTTAATCTGTCAAAATTATTAGTCGATGACTAATTTGTGCATTATGCATAGTCGAGGGCAAATTATGCTGTGGACACGTGCCCACCTTGCAAGGTGAGCACAGTTCCACAACGGCGTCGTTTTCAACGAAATTGACACCTTCTAATTAAAATAAATAAATTCACTTGCCGTTAACGACGTTTCTCTCTTCGCAATCACACAGTTTAGAAATTATGAATCTACTGTATTTAAATTATAAATTTACAGTATAGAAATTATGAATCTACAATATAGAAATTATGAATCTACAGTATTAGGTTTGTGAACATGTGATAGAGCTATATGTTCATAATTTTATAAATATATGTTCATAATTATAAAACTATATGTTCATAATTTTCGATGTTCATATATCCAATTGTTGAACTTTGTATTCACAAATCATAGAACTATATGTTCATAATTTGATAACTATACCGTCTATACTTTTTATTTTTATTTTTATTTTTTTATTTTTAATCTTAAATGTCATTTTTGTCCTATCCAAAATTTAGGAGACTGTAGAGTTTAGGACGAAAGAGCAGCATAATACGGAGCAGAGGAAGAAGAAACCCTAAAGCGACGGGGTGGAGCTGTAGAACGCCACAATCGCTATTGTCTCAAATTCGGAATTACCATCGTCGACAGCCATGGATGCTATAAGGAAGCAGTTGGATGTGCTAATGGGAGCCAACCGGAATGGCGACGTCACCGAGGTGGATCGGAAATACTACGACCGCGACGTCTGCCGTCTCTTTCTCTCCGGCCTTTGCCCTCATGACCTCTTCCAACTCACTGTTCGTAACAGTCGCTCTCTTCTCCATTGCTTTAGCGTTACATTTTCTCCAATTGAATATTTGTTCTTGTTATCGACGCGTGAATATAGTAACTCGTGGTTTGGATTTCATCAAGTAAAGCTCTGCCCTGGATTTACAAGCTTTTTGATGCTTATTTTGTCTACCGACAGCTCAATCAAACACCTAATACACGTAAATTGACTAATTGACTAATAAAATTATGGTAAATAGGTTTATTAACGGGAGACTCTAGTTGAACATCACCTTGAATTCTTGCTAAGGCGTTCAATATTGCCAACGGTTTGGTTCATCACCTTCAATCCTGTAGTCCTCTGGTCCTTCTCCTAAACATAATTATGTTTGTGTCATTAACAATTCTGCTTTAACTTGGTTTTCCTATATGCTTTTTGTTTTTCATCAAACACTAGAATGAATTGAAGTTTTTGTTGTAGGAATTAAAAAAATTACAAAAAACTTTAGATGCCACAGAGAAGAGGAATTAGAACTTAGAAGAAACTCTAATATGAAGAAGTACCTGAAGTTTTGTGGAGCAAAGAGCCAAAGAGAGAAACTGAGGACATTCACTAATTATTTTTAATTCCCCTGAAACTGGAAAAAGTTTGTATGTATTCTTTCTTTCCTACCATAGTTGAAAATCAATCTCTAGAGTCCAGAGCTTGGAATCTAGGACTGTGGCCTCATGGTTCAGAACTTCTAATTCCACTTTTTTTTTTTTTTTTTTTTTTTTTTTTTTTTTTTTAATGGCCAATTTGATTATTTTAGAGTATTTTTCTTTTAATTGAAATTAAACCATTTCAAAACACACTGAGAAGCGAGAAGCCCTATTTAGTGTCAACCTTACTAAGGCCTTCAAATTTTTGTTTTGGCCAAACCAAGGTGGGGGTTGTTCTATCTGTTTGTAGAGGATTCATTTCTCTTAGCTTAGTGGTTGAGACTACAACAGAGCTTTCATTTGTAACTGCAACAGTACCTAGATGCTTTATTGGTAAACATAATTTGCTTCCACAGTCCTTGCCAACTCCTTGTCCTCCTGACCCAAACTTGTAACTTTATATTGGTTCAATGCTTTGTAGATTATATTCATTTTGTGATGATTATAAATTGTTTTTTCTCTGGTGGTCCTCTTAATTTGGATTTAATCTCCCTTCTGTGCAGAAAATGGATATGGGGCCATGCCCAAAGGTGCATTCATTGCCACTGAGGAAAGAGTATCCTCATGGTCATGTTAATAGTTCAGGCATTCTTTGTTTCCCATTTAATTTCATGTGTATGTTATCTTCAACTTTCCTTTACTTGCTAAAAAGAAAGGCTTTCTTCATCACAAGTTTTAAAAACTGCTGGGTGAAGTATTTTTTATTTAATATTATATACTTGTAACTCAATGATTAATGAGTATTGATGTGTTGTTTTTGTTCTAACCTGAATTTAATTTCTTTTCATTGATCATACAATGAACATTTATCTAGTTCTCTTTTCTGGTTGAAAACATTTTAGAGCTTTTGGTTTTTGGAGAAGTGATAATTCTGAATGTAAAGATGCTTGTGCATTGTGAACCTTATTTGCCTGATTAGTATTGAATTCTTATGGTCAGAATATCAAATTGTTACTTAAGCAATGTTATGTGCTCCCGTCATGGGCATCGACACTGTCTCCACATGTGAGTGATCAACAATGATTGTGAATGATGAATCATCCACGTTGAGTGATGTAACATCACCATCTGGTTGCTGAATTCCTAAGGAAGTGGGCGTATTGATTTGTGGTGTTTGGTCATTGAGGAATTTTGTAATACATTGTTTAAGCTCATTGGGATATTCACCCAATTCTCCAAGGCGCCTTTTGCATTCTGCATAGCTCTTTTGCATTCTGCATAGCTCTTTTGCTAAGAGTTTCAACTCATTTACGGATTCTTTGAGAGCTTCAAACTCAGACCGAGTGACGCCTATGATGCCGTTAACAGAACCAATGTTATGTGCTCCCGTCATGGGCAAGAAAACATAAGGAAAAAGGAAGAAAGAATAATAGTTGGAAAAGGAAAAGAAGAAAATACTGGGTTTGCTTGAGACCCAAAATTCCCTTAGACCCTTTTTGGGATTGAATTTATGCTTCCCTTTATTCTAAATAATACTCCCTTTTATAGGTTGATTACAAAGATTCCTAACTAAGAATGATTAGTTATTTGGTATTTTCCAAATAATTGAACTACCTAAACTAATTTGAAAACTAACAGTAATAAGTTAAATAACTGTATTTAGTAATTTCTAAATAACTATTTTGTGGTCTCCAAATAACTATAACTATATATACAGTAGTAATAGTAATAAAATAAGATTTCCTCTGCATGTATCATGCAATTCTGCATATACACTCTCTGTTTGTTACCTTAATCACTTTCTATAGATATGAGGAAGCAAAATCAAAAGGTCTTGATAACTATGACAGAGACTTGGAGGATGTTATTGACAGGCTGATTGTTGAGTGTGATAGGAAGATAAGTAGAGCTGTCAAACGGCTTGATGAAGAGGATGCCAAAGCTGCTATTGCCATCTCAGTGTCCGAAGTTACTCAAGTAGTGTTGCTTAAACTTGTGTTGTCTTCATCATCTGTTTCTTTTAAACTTATGAACTATTCAATTGTTTGCAGACAGCTGAAACTCTTGAGTTATCCAAGCAAATTAAGGAGAAGTTAAAAGAAGCTGATCAAAATGGTAACTTTTAAAAAAGTTAACTGCTTAACTTTAAATTTTGTTCTTTGTATCTCTTCTTCTATTTAGTACTATATGGCATCTTCTTTGAAAATTATTTAGGTTTCGCAATTTTTTGTTCATGCAGATCTTGAAGGCAAGACAGATCTTAAAATTCGTGCTCTTGAAGAGCTTGAAGAACTCAGAACAAAGAGAGCAGACAAACAAGTGCGATGCATATAAATATATAATCAAAGATTGATTGCATACTTCAACTCTCCATGACACATGTTGTAGTTGTTTATCTAGTAACTATCCTCCTGTTCTTCAATGACAGGCAATTCTGCTTTTGGATGCATTTAACAAAGATCGGGCTTCTCTACCTCAGCCACTTCAAAACCCTCCACAGCTGGAGCCCACGACTGCAGCTGCTACAGATCCTCGCATACAGGAGCTGATAAATGAGAAATTAAAGAAAGCTGAAGATCTTGGTAGGTGAAATATTTCATTCTCATGGTTCTACAGTGTATACTTCCTAACTTGTATTTAAATTATAACTGAAATCTGCTAGGATTTGCAGTTTATTGTTGTCTTTTAGGTTATGTAAACAATCACTCTAGAAACATTGCCAAGGTGAGGTAGAGTTCATCTTCCTTGGGCAAATTCATGTTCTGTGTGATGTAGGAATCTTGAGCAGTCACTTAACCATCAATGTACCTCTCTTTTTTATTTCTAAAATTTCATAATTTATGTGCTGCTTTGGGTTAGCAGTTATGTGAATGCATCAAACACTTTTTTCTCTTTTAATTTTCTGTTGTTGCAATCTTTGAGAGAATGTAAGTTTTGTCATTTGTGGTTGACTTGTAATTTTTGCTTCCTCTCTTCTCTATTAGAAGTTTAGGACAGTTCAGTATTATTTAAGTTCCCCTGACAATAGTATTAAAATTTTCATCTTATATGTTAACAAAGGATGATTTGTAAGCTTTATCAACCAGAATAAGGCGTCCAAGTTTCTTTTATGGCCATGACCTAATGCAGTCTATGACAGCACGGCATTTAAATATTTGTTACTGATGCAAGGGGAAAGGTTCGCTGTTACCAGGAATAGAGATGTATAACACTGGAAATTTTGTTTTACATATCTGATTATGTTTCTACAAATACAACAAAAGTATGATGTAGATAGAGAAATTTTTGGTTGCTTAGGCTTTTGCTTTAAACGTGGCACACTTGTCCTTCTCATTATGTGACAAAAAAGCACTTTAGGGATTTTTTCTTTAATCTTTCATCAGTAAGGCCGAATAGTTATTTGATAAATATGGTGAATGCCAATTTTACTCACAACTGCAATGCCTTTTAGTTCATTACTTTATTTTCTGTGCTTATCCAGGTGAACAAGGGATGGTTGATGAGGCGCAGAAAGCATTGGAAGAGGCTGAAGCACTAAAGAAGGTTGCCAGTTTATTATACTTAATACTTGTGATTGTTTTGCTTGTTATAAAGTTTCAGTTGTATGCCTTATTTTCACAGTATTAACGCTTCTTTGCCTTTCACTACCATATTTAAGTTATTAATTGTTACTGTCAACTTTTTATTCAGCTGCCAGCACGCCAGGAACCCATCCTTGATTCCTCAAAATACACTGCTGTTGATGTGCGCATTGTAAGTGAACCATTTCATATTGTAAAGTCATGAGCATGTAGGACCATAGAGCCTAAAAGAGGGGTTTAAAAGTACCTAATTAATGTGTATGTTTGGAAACCTGGCCAGATTTTCTAGTGTTTGGCTATGAATGGAAAACGAAGTGAACGAAAAATACTCATTCTGGTCAAAGGAAAAATGACCCATTTTGGTGGAAAATGTCTTCCGAGATTTTTACTTGGAAGACATTTTCTGAATTTCAATCTCACGCTTAGTTCTTTCTTTCTCTCCCTCTTAAGGGTGTCAAATGGGCGGGTTGGTCTTGCATTCTGTTTGGTTATTATTTGAATTGGATTGGGTTATTCCGGTTAAAATATGGGTCTGGTTGGGCTAAGGCCAAACAAAAAATCTTGTCCCAGCCTGCCCATACCCCAAAAGATTAAAAATCATTTAAGTTTTTATTTTTTTATTTTTTTATTTTTATTTTAATTACATTTATCAATGGCTGATTAAAATATGTATTGGGTTGGGGCAGATCAAACAATAAAAATCTTGGTCCAGCCCACAACCCAAAAAATAAAATAAAATTTTTTTTTTCTCTTAAATTTCTTAAGTTAAGAGTTATTACATTTATGATTTACCAATTTCAAATTAAATATGAGTCACATTGGGTCAAGCCAAACAATAAAAATCTTAGCATGACCTACCCACATCCCAAAAAAAAAGTAAATGTTTTTTCAATTTCTTTAATTCAGAATTATTATATTTATCAATTTATGTATTTATTTTTATTATAATAAATTTGAAGTGAATTTTATTTACATCTTTTTTGTTATAATTATTTTTAATCTTTATAACTTATAAATTTTAATTTATAATTTTATTTTATTAATAATTATTATGATCATTAAAATAATTAATAGTTTATGTTTTTAAAAATGAACCAAGCAAAAAAATACAATTTTTTTACTTTCAGCCAAACAAAAAAAGACTGTTTTCTATTCAGCCAAACATTAGAAAATAAGAATATTTTCTTTTCCGGAAATCAGTTTCCAGAAAACATTTCCAGTATTTTCAAACGAACCCTAAACTACCAGGATATCTATGTAGTCAAATGCATAGGGTAGTCATTGGTGCTCTTTGAATATTTTGACAAATTATATTGGAGTGTCAAGGTGATAGTTTCAAATGGAACTTTGGTATCCTTTTGTGATCTTTCAAGAATGTAGACAAACCTAAGTGTGTATATATATATATATATATATATATATATATATATATATATATATATATATATATATATATATATACATATATATATATATTGTTACAACCATAGTGTTATTATTATTATTATTATTATTATTATTATTATTATTATTATTGTAGTGGGATATCTGGGAAATTTGTATTTTGGGCTTCCTATTGAATGGAAGATTGGGGGAGAAGAAGCACTCCACAAAAACGCTTCATTTGGGGGAGAAGAAGCACTCCAAAAAACGCTTCATTTGGGGAGAAGAAGCACTCCAGAAAAGCTTCGTTTTTTTTATTCCTAAGTTTCTAAGCCTGTGACGCGATCCTAGATATCCTGGCCTATAACATTTGGTATCAGAGCCAACGTCATGGGCGATCAGACACTGGCAGATGCCATTCAGAACCTCCGGACCATAGTCGAGGCTATGACGGTTGATCAGGAGGCTATGAAGGCTGATCAGGACGAACTCCGAGCTATGTTCCGGCAGTTCTTGGCCGGAAAAGAGGCTGCTTCCAGCAGCCACAACGCACCCTCTCCTCCTCCCGCGGAGGAGGCACCACCTCCGCCACCCTGCCCTGCTGCCACCACCGCTGCCCCCAAATTTACCAGGCTGGAGTTTCCCCGTTTCGACGGGCGAGAGGACCCCTCCGGCTGGCTTCACCAGTGTGAGCAGTTTTTCCGGGTACAGGGCACCCCAGCCCGCGATTTTGTCAGCCTGGCGGCCTTCCACCTGACCGGGGTGGCGCAACTTTGGCATTTCCGGCTAGAGATGGAAGAGCCGGAACTTACCTGGCTTCAGTTCAAACAACGTTGCTACCTGCGCTTCGGCCCTGGCCTCCGGGGTAATGCGTTGGGTTGTCTTGCTAAACTGAACCAAGGAGGCGGCACTGTCGAAGACTACTCTGATGACTTCCAGACGGCGCTGCTTCGTACATCATCAATTCGCCATGACCAAGTCGTCGACCTCTACACCGCGGGATTGGACGACTGGCTACGCATCGATGTTGAAAACCAGCGTCCACCGAACCTGGATGTCGCCATCAACCTCGCCAGATCTTACTCTCGCCGCCAGCTCTCCGTACCTGAACACCGTCCGCGACCGTGTCCGGCGTTCTCTTCCTTCGCAGGTACGACTTCGTTGCAACCTGGACAGTCGGCACCGGCGATCTCTGCAGCGACCTCTGCGAACAGCTTCCGCGTCGCGAACCCTAGGCCGGCTCCGTCGTCGGCCTCCTCCGCCGGCGGTCCACGCGGGTCCTCTTCCTTCCCCACTGAACGGCGCCTCTCGCGATCTGAGTACCAACATCGACGCTCCAAGGGTCTATGTTTTACTTGTGATGAGCGCTGGACTCCCGGCCATTCTTGTGCACATTTATTTTGTGTGGTTATTGATGAGGCTGAAGTGAATATTGGGTCCAACCCAGCTGGACAACCAGGCGGTCCATTTGAGCATCAAGTGACTGATTTTGGCTAGTCCAAATAAAACACTTATGGGTTCTAATAATACACCCTGTTCCATCACCTTGAGGACAAGGTGATTTTTTATGGGCGGGGAAATGTTACAACCATAGTGTTATTATTATTATTATTATTATTATTATTATTATTATTGTAGTGGGATATCTGGGAAATTTGTATTTTGGGCTTCCTATTGAATGGAAGATTGGGGGAGAAGAAGCACTCCACAAAAACGCTTCATTTGGGGAGAAGAAGCACTCCAGAAAAGCTTCGTTTTTTTTATTCCTAAGTTTCTAAGCCTGTGACGCGATCCTAGATATCCTGGCCTATAACATATATATATATATATATATATATATATATATATATATATATATATATATATATATATATATATATATATATATATAGGGGGCGTTTGGTTCAGGTAATCTTAGATTACCTAGGTAATCTGAGTCTAGTAATGGTATATTGCCTTGTTTGGTTCAAGTTATGAGATTACCCGGTAATGTTATACACACACACACACACACATAACTTTTTGTTGAATGTATGGTGTAGTCATCAATAAATCAATATTTACTAGTTGAAACATTTTAAATTTGTAAAAGGCTATTGACATGGCATGTTTTTGTATTTGAATCATTTGATTTGGCGTGTAATGTTTTTGAAGCATTTGAATGACATATTAAGCTGATTATTTTGAATGCATTGTTCCTTACTTTCAGACTGATCAGAAGCTGCGTGTGTGTGACATTTGTGGAGCATTTTTAAGCGTTTATGACAGGTAAATATTGACCCCGCTTTTGTTGTGTATCTTACAAGTTTACTTTTTAGTTAGAAGAAAGGACTTTACTTCAAATATTTGACATGGCCATTGTACCTCCTTATATCAACAGGCTTTGGGCCGAATTTTACGAGGATAAACTTTTGCAGCTAAATAATGTGCGTTTTATTTAATCCAGTTTTTGTACATCATGCTCATTGGGTTGAAAGTAGTGGCCATTTAGCATCTGTGTTGTTTTCCCCTCCTTTTTCACCTAGACTTTAACCATAGTGACAAGCCGTTTGCTTGTTTGTTTTGGTCTACACAGTGATCGTCGTTTAGCTGATCATTTTGGGGGAAAGCTCCATTTGGGCTATATGCAAATCCGAGAGAAGTTGGTTGAACTTCAGGTAAAACAAATCTATTACTTTTGAGATTTTTTTTTCTCTCTTTGCACTGCAACTTCTGCTATGTTATTAAACTCTCTTAAATCATTGTCTAGGATGTAAGCAGAATACAACTCCAAAACATCCCTCTCTAATATATTTCTTGACACATGAAAATATCAGAATCTGCTTTATGCAATGAATCCATGTGACATTTTGCATAGATTATGATATATTCTCTGTCCCTAAACTACGTAATGTGGATATTTTGATTCAGGTGCTGCTATAATGTTTCACTTTCTTCTATAGAGATTCAGTTTATAATGTTTCTCTCTGTGAGTTTTTCTATCCTCGGAGAAGAGTACTTCATTTGAAATGTTGTGTTTAGGAAAGTTTACTGTCTTTTGTGATGAAACATCTCAGGTTTGAATTAAACTAGAAAAAACATTGTACATGTTTATCTGAGTAGCATATTGCTAATGGTTTACATATTTGTGATAAATTTGGCTAGTGTTATTCAGATTTATATGCAATATTGGCCATAATGTTCTAGCACCTGAACTCCTTTGGACATTATGAAACAACAGTACATGAACTGGATAAGTGCCTTCACCTTGGCCTCCCTAACAGTGTAAAATAATTGTCATAGAAGGCAAGTAATCTTATCAGAAAATTGTCTGGGTGAGCATCTCTTTTCTAACATAGGCAACAGTCGCCAAAACCAGAACATGACATGATTCTTTTAAGTGGGCATATAAAAGGAGACCAGTCAGGTATTGTTGTGCCAGTGATGTTTTTGTTACACGCATTATTTTACAGATGATTTTAGTGCTTCATAATATATGCAAACCATATTAGCATTTTTTGGGTGCAATTTGGTATGCTGAGCAGAGTGGTTAAAAGTGCTACTTGCCCTGGCATTTTAAGTGCTGAAGTAATTAAGTGAGCTTTTGTTAAATTTTCTTAAAATCTGCTGTAAATCCTTACGGAAAGGCTGAATGCACAGTTAAATATCCAGATTGGTAGCTGGAAATACCTAAAAATGGGTTTTGGTGTTCCCTCGTTATTAAAGGCTGCATTATTAAACTGCAATCTGGCAATTCATATTTTTCAATTGTATTTTCTTTGATGAATTGGCAGGAAGAGAGAAACAATAAACGGAAAGCTTTTGAAGAAGAGAAGATGTAAGTCACGTTAAAAATATATAAATAAATAGGTGGAGTTGATTTTTTATTTATTTTTCCCTCAAGTATTTGAATGAACATTTTACTTCAATTTCTTTCATGTAGATCTAGAGAACGAAGGAGCCGAGACCCTGAAAGGGAATCAAGTAGGGATCGAGGTGATAGCCGTGAAAGAGGGAGGGATTATGATCGTAAAAGCAAAGATCGTGATAGGTATAGTGACCGAGATCGCGGCTATGATAGAGAGAGGGAGCGTTCTCGTAGCTATGATTCTAGAAGGAGTCACCGCAGATCACGATCTCGATCCAGAGAACGCTCAAGGGATTATGATCGCCACAGGTTTTTTTTTATTTTTTATTTTTTATTTTTTTTATTTTTGGCTACTTTGCAGATCTGTTTAATTTATGTTATGTGACTTGACCTGGTTGTGATAATAGTATAAAAATGACATCTAATATCTGCTGTCATGTTTTCCAGGCGTTATGATCGCTACTAGGTCAAGAGTCAAGACTGCAGTCTTTGGTGGGCTTATAATTAGGTGCACAACTGTTGTTGCATCTGCAGCTGAAAATTCGGAAACTGACTATTGTCAGTCAATGCTTTGTTTTTTATTTTGCTTTTTTTTTGTTTTTTTGTTTTTTTGTTTTTTTTTTGTTTTTTTTTTCCTTGGTAATAGCCGGCGGCATTTTGCATCTTATGATTGTTTGGTGGTGATACCGTATTTGTACTAGTTGGGGTAGTTGCCAAATTTACTGTAAAATAATCTTATGGATTTTTGTAGGGTAATGTTTCCGCTTTGTACTTTCACATTGTGAGCATAAATGATACTCGGTATAAAACAATTTGGGAAAAAAGGTTGAAATAGGCTCTTGAACATTATTTAAGTCAATTAGCCATAAATTTTTAAAAGTTGCAATTAAGCCTTTAAACATATTATTTTAGAACATTAAGACCTAAAAGTCGGTTGGTGTCCTATAGTTATAGGTCACTAAGGTCGTGAACCTGTTCAACTATGGATGACGCGTCGGTCATTTTGAAATTTAGAAATTGCCTAACGGCATATTTCCTCCCGTGGTTCTGTTGCAGCATGTCCCAAATGGTCTTGGCAGACCTTTGTTTGGAAAAGATGTCGAAGAGGGCGTTCGTCATGCGTTGCAGTATTGCCCCTTTCACATTTTTGTTGTCGCGATCATATTTTGCGATAATCTCTTGGGACGGGTCGCTGGCTGACGCTGTAGATGTCTTTGGATCGGTTGCAGCACCCATAACAACAACTTGTGAGCCAATCTGGGTTTATTTCTTCGGCGTTTTTTCAGATGTTACCTGGAATTTGGCAGGATCCTCATGAATCACATAGTCGAGACCCTGAGTTTCAAGAAACATCGTGATTTTCGCAGACTAGCGGCGGTATGTCAGACCACCGGTGAGAGGCTCGATTGTGTTAACGTCGACGACGGATTTCGACGAGGTAGACATTGTTATCAAATTGAACTGCTTTTAACTGTAGGAAATATAGGGTTGAAAACTGGTATGACAACAATGTCGTACACGTATCGATAAAACACGAGTACTTGGAGGCTGGACTAAAAAACAAATGAACGGAAAGAATATGTTCTTGCGACGTGTTATTACTAACACTACATTAAAAGCATTTCACGACCAGGGTATCGTGTGCTTTCAACTTGCAAACGCAGAACTCAGAATTAATTTGAATGCTCAGACAGAAGAAGGTAAAAGGAGAATAGCTATTCTTTGTTGTGTGTTTTGATACGATGGTAGGAACTACTTATATAGTAAGTGGCTCCTCCATCCCAGCCATACAAAGGACAATGTGCACTGTCCACACACTAGCGCAAAAAGCGCTGTCCAAAAGAAAAAGCGCAAAGAGCGCTGTCCAAGAGTGAATGCAAGGCTGCAAAAGTGACGTCCACAAACAATTGAAAGGCTAAGGTTATTTCCATCTTTAAATTTTTCAACAACGTACACCAAGAAGCCGTGTTTATTTTTTCATAAGGTGTCTTTCTCAGAGCCCCCGTTTTATAGTGTAGTATAATTTTTGTTTTAGTTTTCCTTGTTTACTTTTGCATATAGAGCGTTATTATTATTATTCTCCCACCCATGTTTCAATTTATTATTTCAATGATTAGTAATGATTAATGAATTATATTGTATGATTATATTGATTGACACATGATTAATTGTATAATTTAACATTGATTACAAATGATTGGTTGATGAATTATATTATATAATTATATTGATTGATTAGTAATGATAAATTTATTATAATACCATAATAATTTAATAATGATGATTTAGTTATTATATTACTTATGAAATTATAATTTTAATAATTAATTTCATGATTGCCACTATTTGTTATTACAGTTGAGGAAGCATACAACACGTTCACATCCATTTAAGTGAAAATGATCATATATTTGCTCTCACTGTTCTTCATAGAATGTTAGTGTTTCATCAAAGTAGAGGTCCAACTTTCTATCTCCAACTATGAATTTGAGTGGCACATCCAATACGCTGGAGTTGCTAAGAAATTCACACAATCGATCAGGCTATAATTGAGTAAGAGGAAGTTAGTAAGTAATGACGTCGTTTAAATGACAAATTGAATGTATATTATTTTCTTACCGCTCCAAATGTACCGAAATCTGTATACAAAGATCTACATCGCTCTAGTTGATCAAACCCCAATGTTGGTGGTATTGCAGACCTTGCGTTGACAGTGATAAACACTAATATATAGAGAAATTAGGATTAATATATGTAGTTAAAAATATAACATATAATTTATGCAATATAAGTGTTGTTACCGGGATAAAAACGGCGATGAGTTATGTATTCACCATATTGATTAAATTCCCTCTTCGAAGTGTAGGAGTCTGCGCTATATAACAAAGTTTCGAAATTGAAGAAACTTGTATGTCGAAATAGCACAATGTCTCCGTGAAATAAATGAATTTTCACCATGAAATCAATAATTTCCGTGGTAAAATGCATGTTTTCGACGGAAACTTCTATCCATTGGCTATGATTCCACAGAATTGCTTTTGTCGTCAGATGTTGCACAATTGAGAATTTTCTATTAACAAAATTATAGTAAATGTAAGAACGATGAATTGCATCGAATGTATTATAACATTTAAATATATAACATCAAAATTAGATTGCTATAATTACCATAGGCATCTCATATGGAAGTTGAATAGTGAACCACGTAATATCGCATTCACTAATATCGGCAAATGTATTTGATGATTGCAAGCTAGTAACAAAATAAAACAAAAAAAACAAAAATAATTGTGAGTAATTACACAGTTAGACATGATAAAACTAACAAAAGAAATGACAAATACAAAATTACTTACGTGAAGGATAATTAATTTGTTGTAGACGTTCAAATATGAACATAGCATATCGTTGTGCATCTTCCTCATTTGAAAAAGACATTGATTCGGACACATTTAAACCTAGCATTTGTAGATATCGACTACATCCATGAGTTGGATAAGATAAATAACTATTCGAGGGTGTATGATCTACATTTGCATACACAATTTTTCTTCCCGCAAAGGTTATTGCGAAATACCGTTGCCTGGCACAGTACTGATGAGTGATGTCATTTACTATTTCAAAATCATCGAATAGATCCATTTTTTATATTCAGAGAGTTGAGTAAAACTTTTACGTAATTTGAAATACGTAATAACAAAAGTTTGGAAATAGAAATGGTTATTAAAGATTTTGAAGGAAGAGAAAATTGAAGTAATGAGCAACAGTTGAAAAAATTTATGAGGAGGAAATCGAAGAAATGAGCAATGGTTGTGAAAACGGGCAGATGTATATATAGAACTAGTTTTTTACGTGCATTGCGCAATTGGGATAATGCCCAATATTTTTTTTAAAATAATTACTTTAAAGTATATCAATGCAATTATATTGGAATTGTTCATGCATAGATAATTGAATGTTGAATTTGAAGAGCTAAAATATTAAATATATACTAATATTGAAGAGCTAAGTACTGATTGTCAAACAAGGACATTGCGAGTTAGTTTCCCACTTCAAATTCGTTATGTAATCTGAATATTCTTTTTGTCAATAAATCCCCCAAGTAATTAATATGATTGACTTAATTATATTTTTTATTTTTTTATTTTTTAAAACAATTATTATTATTATTATTATTATTATTGTTATTATTATTATTATTATTATTATTATTATTATTATTATTATTATTATTATTATTATTATTAAATATATGTTAAATATATGTATACCCTTAGGTCATTTTACCAATTAATCTAAACAACTAATTTTTTCAAATATCTTTTTACCCACCGTTGATATAACTCGCTACCGCTGATTGACAAACAAGGACATTGTGGCCATGTTTGGTTATTGGCGGATCCGCCATTTTTTGGCGGATCCACCAATTTTGATGGTTTGACCATGTCAAACCGCCAAAAAAACCGTTTAGTTAGCAGCGGTTTGCTCCAAACCGCTACTTTTGCAAATAAAATACTTATAATATTTATTTAAATTTTTTCATGGTATTAATAAAATACTTGGTAAATAAATATATAGCATTATTTGGTATTATAACTTTGATATATAATTAAAAAATAGTGCACAAAAAATATAATAGACAATGTAGTTAATATAATCAATTGATGAATTTGAATGTAAAGAATTTTTACATTGGAGAAATATAAAGACAATATAACTAATGAAATTATTTCTCTTATTTAATTTATTGATAATGAATAGTTTTTTTTTTTTTTTTTTTGAATAAAGACATTGTAGGGACAATGTAGAGATAGAATATAATCAATTGATAAATTTGAATTTTGAAGGTAAAGAATTTTTATATTGGAGAAAATAAAGACAATATAACTATTGAAATTATTTCTCTTATTTAATTTATTGATAATGATTTTTTTTTTTTTGAGTAAAGGTATTGTAGACACATAATTCTAAATTAAAGAAATGCATATGTATTATTTTTTTAATTTAATAAGAGTAAAATAGAGAATTATGCCAACTTTGATTTGGATGAGGTTCGAACCTAAGACATTTCTTATTGAAATCAATGAGTAAGTTAACGGTGAACTAACAGAAATTAACGGAAAAGATAATATTTAACGGAAAAGTTAACAGATAATCCTATTCATTAAGGATAAATTAGGAAATCTGAAGGAAAAAATTAAAATCTGATCAATCTGAGCCATTCATTTGATTAAAAACTTTAACCGCCATTTTTTCTACCCATTATAGGCCTGAGTCTCTTGAACTCTTATTAGTATAGTAGATAGTAGATAGTAGATATAATACGGTTAATTGACATTTCCAATATTTTGCAATGGTCACGGTAGCATTTCTTTTTGCCCTCCAAATTATCATTTCGAAATTGAATATAGTATATTATACCATTGTCACTGTAGCATTTTTTTGGCAGACCAATTGTCTTTTCGAAATTGACGGTAGTACACATTGTATTTCATAGAATTTACTGATCTCAACTGCTGCGCCTCCAACACATTTCGGGGAGAACCAGCTAGCTCTGCGTTCGAGTGGCATTTCACTCCTAACCACAACTCATCTGCTGATTCTTCAACATCAGTCGGTTCAGACTTCCACTTGATCTCAAAGATTTAATAGATCTCAGTGATTGTAATACACACTGTATTCCATAAGATTTACTGATCTCAAAGATTTACTGAATCTCAAAAATTTAAGACGATGTGATGGAATAAGATAACACGGATGTGAATTCACCGTGTTATGGAACAATGAACGGCTTACAGGGTGCTGCCTT